ATCTATAGTTGTGCAGGAGCCAGGATCCGCCTCTGTTCAAAGAACATGCAGCTTTCCCAGGTTTACGGTAAGAGAGAGCCAGAATAGTTACCCTACTCCTCCAACAAACTTTAAGTTTCCACAATGCTAGTTTCCACAACACCTGGAAAGCACTGTGAGGTATAATGCATGCCATCTGCTCTCCAAGAATTTATGATCCAGGAGGGGACAGATCAGTGGATTCATTATCATTCTTACACCTTACAAAGTTCCTAGGGGGTTTCATTTACCAAGTATTTGAAGCTACTAAGCTAAGCTACTAAGCTACTATACCTGGGAATCTGAGGTTGAAAAGAGAATGAAACTGGATGAAGGTGGTCGAAAGCTACAGAGCTCCAACTGTAAGATAAAAGTATTAGGGATACAACGTACCTGATCAATTTAATTAACACTGCTGTATGTAACATACGAAAGTTGTTTAAGAGAGTAAATCCTAAGAGTTCCCATCACCAGGAATATATTGTTTCTATTTCCTTTATTTTGTATCTATATGAGATGATGGATGTTCACTAAACTTGTGAAAACTATTTCATGATGTATGTAAAGTCAAATCATCATCTATCAAATCAAATTATCTATATAACACCTTAAGTTTATATAAAGCTGTATGTCAATTATAGTTGTAAAAAACTAGAAGAAAAAGAATAAAATTCTAAGCATATATAAAGAGCAAATCCAGATATATCCATGTAGAAAATTGGATTATTCTTAGTAACTCTTCATTTCCACCCTGTATTAGAATATTTAACTAGGCCGTTTGCTATGTGTCTTTACAGTTTTTTTCTCACTAGACATGGAGAGTCTTTCCCTGATCTACCAAGGGAAATTTCTGCTTGGAAAGACCTAGCTTCAGAAAGCCAACAGTCCAGGTATTATTTTACTTTAGATGCTTGCAGGTGGTTATGTCCTCATGACCCACCATGTTTAATTTCTTCTTCTTTCTTAAAAGTCACCTTTTTTCATCTTTTGAAATTGTTTGTTCCTCCTCTCTAGGACCCTTAAATAGTACTTTATTCATAGCTTTTTCCTTAACTACTTGCATGACTTTAGGTACCTAACCTTTGGATCAGTTTTAACATCTATCAGAGCTCCTGGTGAGAACTTGATAAAAATGCAGGTACCTAAACCTCACTTCTATAGATTTTAATTTATCAGATGTGGGAGAGGACCTCAGCATCTGTATTTGTATTGAGTATCCTTAGACGGGCTAAGATACACCAAAGTTTATTCTTCAAGTTCTGTTTTTTACATGCAAAGCTATTATTTTAATAGAGTAGAATGAGTTTTAAAGAAGAATTAAAGAACTTCCCAGCTGTCTTAAATAGGGATCTTCAATCAGATGGGAATTGAGTCAGAATCCAGTTGTTGAGACAATGTACAGAGGAAACAGAGATTCCCAGCTCTATACAGAAACTTTTCATATAATTTCAGCACAACCAGGACAATTTATTAATTAAGAGTATTGGGCTCAAAAAAAAAAGAAATATATTAAAAAAGAATGAAATGTTATTTGCACTGGCAGGGATACACTTGGAGGACTTTATGCTAAGTGAAGTAAATCAGAGAAAGAAATACTGTACGACAGGGGTCCCCAACCTCTGGGATCTAATGCCTGATGATCTGAGGGGGAGCTGATGTAATAATAAGATAAATAAAGTGCACAGTAAATGGAATGCCCTTGAATCATCCTGAAACCAACTTCTCCCACCCCACTCTGTCCATGGAAAAACTGTCTTCCACAAAACCGCTCCCTGGTGCCTAAAAGGTTGGAGACCGCTGCTGTATGATATCACTTATGTGTGGAATCTAAAAAATACAACAGACTAGTGAATATAATGTAAAAAGAGACAGATTCACAGATACAGAGAACAAGTTAGTGGTTACAATAGGGAGTGGGGAAATGGGAGTGGCAATGCGGGATAAGAGATTAAGAGGCACAAACTATTAGATATAAAATAAATTATAAAGATATACTGCATATAAAATAAATTATAAAGATATACTGCATATAAAATAAATTGTAAAGATATACTGTACAACACAAGCAATGTAGTCAATATTTTATAGTAACTATAAAGGAAGTATAATCTTTAAAAATTGTGAATCATTATATTGTATACCTGTAATGTATATATTGTATATCAACTATATGTCAAAAAAATTTTTAAAGGTTAAAAAAGGAAACATAGCATAGTAATGTAAGACAGCTTATAAATGATTTTTTAAAATAAAGAGTTCATTTTTTCAAGGTGTAGTGGGGAGAATAAGGTTTTTATCTAAAAGCAAGCTATTGAATCTAATAAATGAGTCTTTAAAATATACAGATTCTGTATATAGGTGTTTCTGTGTGTTTACACACGTGATGTATACATGTGTGCTCATGCATTAAATCAACATGTCATGTTAATGTAATTTTAAAACAATTAATTAAATGATAAGCAATTTAGTCACAGCCCAGTACTTCAAAACTGCACTGTGAGAATGTTTGAAATGTCTTTCCTGTGATCTATGTCTTTAGGATCACCATCTTAAAGGGTTTGGGAAAGCCACATGTATAGAACATAATGATTTTGAATCATGCAGGCTATTTTGGGGACGTTTAAATATGTGAAACAGATTTCCTTAGGGACTTTCTCATTCATTCACTCCTTGTCTGAGACCCTTCACCCCAAAGAGTCTGCTAGGGAAGGAGGAACTACAGGGAGCTAGAACCAAAGGGAGCAGATGGAAGTCTGAGCAAACACACCAAGTCTGAGTTGGGCGGTCACCATTCCATCTGGAGGCAGATTAGGTAATAGGCTATCCAACCACTCCCATCTTTGTTTCTCTTCTCTACCCTTCAAGAAATAAGGGCACTTGCCATAGCCCTAATGTTCCATTTTTACCCTACACCTTTCTCCATTTTCAGTGGACTCTTCCCTCCGTTGCATTAAAAACCAACTTCCTTGGTCTAAAGGTGTCAGGTCTAGGATCCCTCCCTCACTGAAACTTAGGTTGTGCCTTTAAATGTCATTTTATGTAGAGGTGCACTGTGAGTAGATTCAAGCCCATGCCCTGTACCCAATTCTTCCCAGTCTCTGGGCCGCCAACTAGCCAACTAAATTGTGTGGTCACAAACTGAAGGCTCATCATGATGTAGCTTATATAATACATACATAATATGTGGGATGATCCCTGGGGATAATTAAGGCGGCATTACCGGCCTAGAAGGGAGCTAGCAGCTCTTTCACAGCTGTGTCTTCTAAAAGGGTGACAACCACTTACCGTGCTTTTCATACCCAATATGAAAGAGTCTCGACTATGTCTCCTCATACGTAGTTCTGTGCAGGCGAGCTCATTCACTCAGTCCTGTTGGACTCTTTGTGACCCCATGGATTGTAGCCCACCAGTCCCCTGTGTCTGTGAAATTCTCCAGGCAAGAAATAGTGGAGTAGGTTGCCATTTCCTCCTCCCCGGAGGCTGAACTCACATCTCCCGCGACTTCTGCACTGGCCGGCAAGGCAGATTCTTTACCCCTAAGCCACCTGGGAAGCCCCTCCTAATACTGACCCCTGAGCTAATTAGTATCAGTGTGATTGTCTTCATTTTCTAGCTACCAATTAAGCAGTTGCTCCAGAGAGAACTGTCAGCAATATGTAAATTTAAAAACAGAAGCCAGGAGCTGCTGGTTGACAGTATAGAAAGACGAGGTTGAAAAACAAAAGTGATGGTGGAGTGAGATTGTGAGTGGCCGTTCTAGCTAGTTGAATACCGAGCTTCCTTACAATCCGATTAGCTCACAGTTTACCCGAGAAGTACCCACTCCTCCAAATAAATAAGTAAAAGATAGATATAGAATAGCAGAGCGTCTGGGTTTGCGCTGGGGAAGCGAGTCCTTTAACCATGGCCACCCACTCGCTCAAACTAGGCACCTATTTGGTAGAGAGTCTTGTGCTCAAACCCCCATCCTCAGAGACAGCTTCACTCCTACATTTAAGCTTCAGCCTAAATGGACACTCAGAGAGCTTTCCTCATTCCTGTATCGGATTCACGATGGCACCGTCCACAGACTCACTCTTAAGCCACGCAGTCCTCTCTTATGAGAGACTGAAAACGTCCTACTGTTGCCCCCTCTCTCCTTTCCCCAACCAGCATCTCCATTTAGAGAGGGAATTTCAGTTGCATCACCAAACACAAAAAGCAAAAGGTGAGGGATGCAGGGAGAGATGCCAAACTCCCTACTCACACCCCTCCCCACTCACCCACGCGTCGGCTCCCGGCTCCCCCTCCTCCTGCCCCGGGTTGGCGGTCAGGTGAGGTTACCTGGGCGCCCCGAGAAGCCTCGAGGGGCGCTGCGATCCTTCCTCTCGAAGTCGCCCCACTCCCCACCGGGCCCCCAAGACTCTGGCCCCTTCTCCCCCTGCGCGCGTCCCCTGCCCCTCGGGCTCCGGCGCGCAGCGACAGCCGCACGCGGCGCTCGGCTCCCCTCCGCCGACCTGGCGTGACGCAGGCGGAGACTACTTAAGGCCGGATTAGAGGCGGCGGCCGCGGATTGCCGAGCCCTGCGACCGGCGCCGCGCGCTCCGCCCCGGCTTCGCAGGCGGCAGCGCGGGAGCGCCCGGTGCCCGCTGAAGTGCCAGGCGCGGGGATTGGTGCCCGGACCTTTCCTCGGCCCCTAACCCCCGGGAGTGAGTGGCGCTCAAACACCTCGCTCGGGCGGGCGAGAGCTCGCGGACCTGCACGCGGCCACCCCCGCTCCGCCCCGCCCCTCGCCCGGCCGTCCCCCGGCTCCAGACCCGACCCCCGGACGGCGCCCGAGGTTCGTGCCCGCTCTCCGGACCGCGCCAGCTGCCCATCAGTTGGACGCGCTTGGGTTTCCTTCCCCATTTCCCCTGTTTTAAGTACAATAAAAGGGAGAGGGGGATCTTGGATTTTTAAACAATTTTGTTTGATTCTTTAATTGGGGGGCATTTCGCTCCCAGTCGGGAGGTGCGGCCCGGGGAGGGGCCCGGAGCGGGAAGGTGCCCGGTGCTGCCCAGTCTTTGTCTGCTGCCTCCGGATGCTCAGCGATGGGGGAATGGACCATCTTGGAGAGGCTGCTGGAAGCCGCGGTGCAGCAGCACTCCACTATGATCGGGAGGTAAGGGCGGCGAGCCGGCCATCAGCGGGCCCCGTCGGGCGGCCCCCGGGAGTCCTTTCTAACGTCCAGACCGAGCCCCAGCAGCCCTCAGACCCTCCTCTGCCTCCTTCCCATCATCCTTGGTCCATGCGCCTGTGTTCCCAGCGTTGAGGGATTGCCTGACGCCCAGTGATGCCCCCCTCCTCCAGCTGCTCCTCATCAGGAATCCATCCCTTCCCTCTGAAGCACCACCAGGGGATTCACTTTTCTTCCATTAGCAAAGGAGTTATTGGCTCAGTCGTGGTACCCCCACTCTCCGCAGTCAGAGCCAATCTTCATCCGGTTCCCTAAATAGAATCTACAAAGAAGGCAGGATTGTATTTGGACAGAGAAGGGCAAATGGGGAGATGGATTTGCTCTTCCGAGCAGATATATCTTTCCCCAACAAATATTTAACAAGCTAAACTGATTTGCCTGTTAAGACCTACAGTGCCAGAAACCCACACACCCAGTTGACACATTTTGTCTCTATATATACTATATATATTTGTGTTTATATGTGTATATATAGTTATAACTATCTGTTTATGTAAAACTTAATTTCAGTATTCATATTGAGGATAAACTAAATATCCAGTTGGAGTACTTACATATACATACTCTGTGTGTAGACTTTGTATTTGATGTATTCTATTCCATGTGCATTTGCCATATCCAGAGGGCAGTTATATATTCTGCCTCTTTACATTCCATGTATACAGATGGAATTGATTTGTTGCAAATACACCATGTCCAGTGTATGGAAATGCACATGCTTAAGATCCCTATGGTATGAAGTGTTCCCAGCCTACCAACACCCAACAGAGAGGGAAGAGACCTAAATGTTTGCTGAATTCCCAGTTCAGGACCACTCTGGATGGATAGCTCCCCAGTCAAGGACAGAGCTGGGAACTGAGCAATAGGGCTTTTCTACTGAGTCAGTGACTCAACCCTTGAGAACCTCTCTGCCTCCCTTTTCCTCTGCTCAGGATCCTCTTGACTGTGGTGGTGATCTTCCGGATCCTCATTGTGGCCATTGTGGGGGAGACAGTGTACGATGATGAACAGACCATGTTCGTATGCAACACACTGCAGCCCGGCTGTAACCAGGCCTGCTATGACCGCGCCTTCCCCATCTCCCACATACGCTACTGGGTCTTCCAGATCATAATGGTGTGTACCCCCAGTCTCTGCTTCATCACTTACTCTGTGCACCAGTCTGCCAAGCAACGAGAACGCCGCTACTCTACTGTCTTCCTGGCTCTGGACAGAGATCCTCCTGAGTCCATGGGGGGTCCTGGAGGAACTGGGGGTGGGGGCAGCGGCGGTGGCAAACGAGAAGATAAGAAGTTGCACAATGCCATTGTCAATGGGGTGCTACAGAACACAGAGAACACGAGCAAGGAGACGGAGCCAGATTGTTTAGAGGTGAAGGAGCTGACCCCACACCCATCGGGGTTGCGCACTGCAGCTCGATCCAAGCTCAGAAGGCAGGAAGGCATCTCCCGCTTCTACATTATCCAAGTGGTATTCCGCAATGCCCTGGAGATTGGGTTTCTGGTGGGCCAATACTTCCTCTATGGCTTCAGTGTCCCGGGGCTGTATGAATGTGACCGCTACCCCTGTATCAAGGAGGTGGAATGTTATGTGTCCCGGCCTACTGAGAAGACTGTTTTTCTAGTGTTCATGTTTGCGGTGAGCGGCATCTGTGTTGTGCTCAACCTGGCTGAACTCAACCACCTGGGATGGCGCAAGATCAAGCTGGCTGTGCGGGGAGCCCAGGCCAAGAGAAAGTCAGTCTATGAGATCCGCAACAAGGACCTGCCCCGGGTCAGCGTTCCCAACTTTGGCAGGACTCAGTCCAGTGACTCTGCCTATGTGTGAAAGGGCAGGTTTGGGGAAGGCCTAGGGGGTGACAAGGAGCCCCAAGGCAGATGGCTACAGAGGATGGCTCTATCTGCCCTCATTTATGTGACTGTCATCACTGAGATCTAGAATAAGGCTGGTTAAGAGAAGTTCTTGCATCAGTTGGAGAGGAGAGAAAGTAGGACCGTTAGCACATCACACCACTGGTTCCAGAGACAACTGGACAGAGTGATGAGATGGATAAGCTGGACTCCTTTGGGCCCTTTTCTTTTGTGGTCCAGTTTGATCCTGATCATAGTGGACTTGAACAGCTCCCAAGTAGGACTTAGCTCTGCTAAGCTCTGTATTCTGGTGAATGGCATGAGTCAACTATTTTACTGTTACAAAATTTGTGACCTATCTCAACACAACCCTTCATCCTGGGCTGCAGGACAAACATCCTTGAGGCATCCTTCATGTACCTATCCCATCAGCATGCCCTTCTCCCTCAACCCAGGACAGCATGCCAGCTTTCTCCTCAATCTGGCCTTACAGTAGACCTAATATGGTTTATCTGCAAGCTAGAGGGAATTCTGTGGGGTGCTTTTTAGAGAATGGCCATGGCATAGGTTTGTATCACAGCCCCATCTGATTGGCCCTTAGTCATTATGAAAACCTTAGGAATGTCTCAATATTTCCACTTTTCTAACTCAAACTGCACTGGTGCTGTTTATTAGGGGCAGGGGTTGGGTGGGAGGGAGGGGAATGCAATATGCAACTATTAACAGTCCTATGGGATGGTTGTTGCACTGTTAGGCATGTGGTTATGAGCTTTGGGATATTTCTGCCTTCCAGATTGTGGACTTTGGACAGCATTAAAAATATTTTTGTTGATATTGTTAATATCAAGGGTGTCTACCCAAGCCACAGAATCTCTAACTGGTGTATTTCATTCATTTTCTTTTATAGTTTTGTTGTGCAACACAGCTGCACTTGATTTTGCCATGGTTTGAATTTACCTGTGTGCTCACACCAGAGACCTTAATCAGCCCATGTCAATCCTGGTTTATTATTTTATCAGTTATTTTTGAAACACATACAATCACTGGCTTAAGAAACCTGAAACTAAACACTATTGGCTAACACGCGTTTACGGATACTTATTTGAGACATATACATATACCAAAGTTTAAAAAACCTGTTGCTTTTGACTGTGAATATGTTTCCTTCTCTTTGCTCTTATTTAATTAAGTGCCATACTGTACCTTTCATATCCACTGTTTATTTAGTTAAAGCATTGGCCAAGAGTAATATTTGGATAATGTGCTTTTATGAAGCCCTCCGTTTCCTTTGCATTATCATTATGATTTTTGGTTTAGATAACAACTGAGGATATGTTTAAAATAAAGTTCTTGCCTTTTTTTTTTAATGGGAAGAGTCTGCAATTTTATGTTTTGATTTGGATTCTATTTATTTAAATATATGTTCAAAAATGTTTTGTTACATATTTAAAAATCAGAACTGTGAGGGTAGGAAGTGATGGATGGTTGAATAGTACTTGGGGGATGACTGATAATGCCCAGTCACTAACAGATGAGACAAGACTGGTACATTTTGTGAAAGTTTAGAAGACTGTGATGAGGTATTCAAATAGTGATGTTTACTAACTCCTTTCCATTTTAGTCCAAGATTTCTCTGCTTGTCTAAGGATATATCTTGTAATAAAATGTCAATGCTACAACATATTAGTTTATTCCAGGAGTGGAATTATTTTTCCCATTTTACCATACTTTCCTGCTCTCACCTGTCACATTTGGCAGCAGGCCATGCTCCCTGTGCTCATCTATTTGAGACCTGATGTTTAAATGATGCTAATCCAATAGTCAAACAGAACCTTCTAGACCAGCATTGTCCAATACAACTTGGTGTAATGATGGAAACTTCTGTTATTTTTGGTGCTTAATACGACAATGACTATTGAGCTCTTAAAATGTGACTAGTACAATTGAATAACTGAATTTCTAATTTTATTTTATTTTAATTAATTTAAATAACCATATATGGTTAGTTGCTACTGTATCATAAAGCACAATTATAGACTTTTAATCAAGCACTTCTTATTGGGTTCTTCCAAAAGAGGTTAATCCTTTGCTTATGTGTCCTAAGATATTACTTTTTAGCAACACATTTTACTAACATATTTGGCATTTTTCTTTCTTTTTTAGTTTCTTTTTTTAAAAAAACAAAAACTTCTTATTTTATATTGGAGTATAGTTGATAAACTGTGTTTGTGATAGTTTCAGGTGTACAACAAAGTGATTCAGTTATAGATATACACATATCTGTTCATGTTTGGCATTTTCTGTCTACATGAATTAATGGTCCCATTAGTTCAGTAAACTAATGTTCTTCCCCAGTTCTTAAATGCTATTCACCTTCTAATTCCAATAAGCCCTTCATCTGAATATTGCAAAGTAATGTGAAATTTCTTGTATGATTGTTCTTCAAGCATGATTGTTGCATCCTTTAACTATGACAGTGTGGATGCCAATTTTAGAATGAAAATCTGTTTATTTCAATCTATAGGTTTCCATCTGCAGTATAAATAGGCAGTTGAAAAGGACTATTCTTGAGTAAAGAAACAGATCCTCCTCTGTTTTGTGTTTGGTGAGCTAAAAATGTTTTAAGATGCCTCCCAGAGATGGAGGAAGAGTGTTGCTTGAGAGCTCTTAGCATATGCTTGGGTGTGAAAGAAGTAGGAAGCTGTGTGGAAAACAAGGGCTGTTGTATTTATGCCACAATGTGAGATTGGGAAAACGCTAGTGTTTCCTGGTAGAAATGCATCCTGTATCAGTGGAGCTCTTTGATGTTTCCAAACACCTGCAAACGCAAGATTAATTCACTTGTTGGTAGTGGAGAAGGGAAGACACCTTCCTCTGGGCTTGTAGAGTCATTCCTCAGATTTACTGATGTGTGTCAGTCTGATTCTTTCACTTTCTATTTAATGAAGGAGATACACTGATGATTTGATGGTTCACATAGCTATGTGATGGGTACGATCTTAATCTGTACTTTTGAGAGGACAGCACCAATCTCTTCTTATAAATTTAAGAGCCCTATAGTGAAGCACAGGGCTTCCCTGATAGCTCAGTTGGTAAAGAGTCTGCCTGCAATGCAGGAGACCCTTGTTTGATTCCTGAGTCGAGAAGATCCACTGGAGAAGGGATAAACTACCCACTCCAGTCTTCTGGCCTGAAGAATTCCATGGACTGTATAGTCCATGGGGTCCCAAAGAGTTGGACATGACTGAGTGAGTTCCACTCACTCACTAGTGAACCACAGGCTCTTTTGGCCTGTGTGTGCATAATGTGTGTGTGTGTGTGTGTGTGCACGTGCGCATGCATGTTGGTGGGGGGTGGGGGTGCTAAGGCATAAACTGAGTCTAAAAGTTTGAAGAACAGCCTAGAGAGACTGAAGTTACTTAGCCTGGGGAAAGGAAAGCCTAAAGTACAGAATTTTCATTTTTAAGTCCTCAAATATTTAAAGGGTTAAAAAGTATAAGGGATAACAGCTGTACTTGCCGACCTCTGAGAGCAGAGGGAAAAGTCTGGATTCAAAATCAGGGGTGTAGAAAATTAACAAAGTACCCAAAAGGACATGGTTTCTCTTTCACCTCTGCTTTTCTTTCTTTTTTTTAATGCTATTTCTTCTGCCGGGAATACCTGTCCCACCACCTCCTTTGACTAGGTGTGTTCCTCTTCACTCCCTAGCAGTCGGTTTGACTCTCTGCTTGCACAGGAACCCATGCTAAACTCTCCTCCAGGCTGGCTTACTGTGCCTGTGCTGAGCCTCCATAAAAGTCTCTGCCCCTTACTGCTTGGAGGTGAGATGTTTCTAGATCAGTGCGTGGGTCCTTGAGGGTGGGAACTGTGCCTTACCCATTGTAACCATATGTGACATTTGTTATCATCACTACATCTACTATGAGAGATATGGGCGCCTCAGTGTCCCATCTGGCAACAGTCTTACAGACTCGTATGGAAGCTAAAAGTACCTTACGAAGACATTAAGTCAAACTCTTGATTATATGGCTGAGAAAACTGAAAGATCTACAATTAGGACACTGAGTTTCTTGGAAAATGATGTAACCGTTCATCTTGGAGAATTGTAATATTTAGGAAATCAATATTTATGTTGGTTTCACTTACTTTGTGTTTTACAAAGTGTATTCGTCTGCTTGGGCTGCCGTAACAAAATATCGTGAATAGGGCGGCTTGAACAAGAGGAATTTGTCTTCTCACCACTCTGCAATCTGCAGGTCGAAGCTCAAGGTGCTGGCAGGATTAGTTCCTTCTGAGGCTTTTGCTGGTTTTGCAGATGGTCACCTTCTCTCTGTGCCCTCCCATGGTCACCCCTCTGTCCATGTGCATTCTTAGTGTCTCTCTGTGTGTCTTAATCTGCTCTTCTTATGAGGACACGAGTCACATTGAATTAGGGCCGACCCTAATGTCCTCCTTTTAACATAATCACTTCTCGAAAGACCTTATCTTTAAATATAGTCACATTTTGATACAAGGGACACAGTTTAGCCCATATTACTAAATATTTTCAAACCTCTAGGTACCCTTATGCTTGGGGGTGGTTACATAATTTACTGCACAAAATGGGTTATATTTGAGAATAAAAGGGGTAGAATATCTAATTGAATGGAACACCAGACCTGTGAGTGTAAATTGGATCTGTCCTTAAGCAAACCAAGTTGTGTGGCTGCTTTACTTAAGACAATCAACGATCATTGAGCTCTTGCTCCAGGGTCTGGAACCCTGGAGATAATGACACCTAAGTCTCAGCTCTTGAGAAGGGCTATGAACTGCTGTCAGACAGAGATAAAAATTTATGTCAGTAATAATTAGGTGGCAGTAGTGGTAAAGAACCTGCCTGCCAATGCAGGAGACATAAGAGTTGTGGGTTCAATCCCTGGGTCAGGAAGATTCCCTGGAGGAGTGCATGGCAACCCACTCCAGTATTCTTGCCTAGAGAATCCCATGGACAAAAGAGCCTGGTGGCTGCAGTCCAAGTGTCTCGAAGAGTTGGACATGACTGAAGCGACTTAGCACTCAATAATAGGAAAATAATATTTTAAAAATGCATATGTCTTTGCCCTCCAGACAGCCTAACTTAGACTCTCTGATGCTGTAGCCTGGGCATTTCTTTCCCTATTTCTAGGGGATCAAATGTGTAGTCAGGATGGAGGGCCACAACGTCAGAGGCATACATTAGCATAAAATAATGAGAATCAAATATTTGGAGGAGAACTTAGGAAAGGAGGAGAAGAGAAGTGTGAGGTTCTCAATGCTGCCCTTGCTTATGTCATGTGAAAAGCTAGTGATGAGAAGCTCTAGGTAGACGACTAACAGCAATTCTCAGGGCTTTAAGAGTAGAAACAGTGGCCTTGGAGGTAAGAGAGGCTAACAGAGGATAGGGCCTGGAGTGAATCGAGGAGGAGAGGTCCAGCTTAAGGGCTGATAGGGCAAGTTGCAAAGTGGTTTCATAAAGTTCAAGGAGGTGGAATCTCAAGGAAGAAGGTCTGTTCTGAGTATTCAACTTAGAGTAAGCATTCAGTTAGATTAAAACGCTAAATTTAAGCTAGTGAAAGCCTCCAAACCATCCACTAAACTTGGTGAGTGAGTGGGAAGTAAGAAAACAGTGAGCACAGACTGTCCTT